CTCCTAGAAGAAAACAGGCAAAGATCATTTTAAACTTGGTTAAGCAATGGTTTCTTAGATTTTTTTTTAATACCAAAAACTGAAGCAAATATGTAAAACTAGATCAAACACAAATGCTTCTGTGCTCTCATGAACACTGTTAGAAAATTAAATAACCCATAGAATGAGGAAAATATTTGCAAATCAGGTATATGATAAGGGATTATTATAAAGAATTCCTAAAATTCAATAATTTTAAATTAAATTAAAATTCAGTTTTAAAATGGAAAAACGATCTAAATAGACATTTTTTTAAAAAAAGAATATTATATAGATGGCCAATAAACACATGAAAATATACTAATAGTCACTAGGGAGATTCTAATGAAAACCACAATGAGATACAACTTCACCCTTTCATACCCATTGGGATAGTTAAAATAATAATAAAAGTCTTAGTTTGGGTTTGGAAATGGTGGAACCTTCATACATTGCTGTTGGGGATGCAAAATGCTGCACCCTCTTTGGAAAATAATTTTGGTGGCTCCTCAAAAATTAAACACAGATACCCATATAACCCAGCACTTCTCTTAAGTATATTCTCAAGGGTATCGAAAACATACGTCCACACAAAACTTACATTGATGGTCACAACAGCAGCATTATTCAGAATAGCTGAAGTGGAAACAATCCAATGTCCAATAATCCTACAGTACTATTTAGGTATAAAAAGAAATGTATTGATCTTCTGGACATTTCTTATAAATGGAATCATAATATTTGGCTTTTTGTGACTGGTTGCTTTCACTTAATGTAATGTTTTTAGGATTCATCAATATTGTAGCGTATATCAGTACTTCCTTTTATGGTTGTATTATATGCTGTTTTATACCACATTTGTTTATCTAGAATCAATTGATGGGCATTTGGTTTGTTTCTCTTTCTTGGCCATTGTGAATAATGCTGTTATTAATCCTTCCATTCCCTTCTTAGTTTTACATTATTTTTTCTCTTCTTTGGAGACCTTCATTTCCCTTACGTAGCACTCTATCGAGTTCATTCCTTCTTTTTCTCTCTCTTTTCCTTTTGAGATAGGATCTTGCTGCATTTTTCAGGCTATTCTTGAACTTCTGGGCTCAAGTGGTCCTCCTGCCTCAGCTTCCTGAGAGCTGTAACTATAGGTGCATGCCACCATGCTCAGCAGAATTTTCACTGTCTTGAGTATGACTTTCTGCCCCATATCTGGGCTAATAAAGCCCTATAGGAGACTTTATATAACTGTCAAATCCAATTGGTGGAGATCCTACTGCCTCATCCTCTGCAGCCTCCAGAACCACTGCACCAGCTGTGCTTCAGTCTTTATGAGTGTTATCTTACCTTATTATAGCAACCTAATATGATGTGGTACCATCATTAAGTATTACACAGAAAAGAAAATTAAAGTTTGTTGAGGTTTAGGTCAATCAGGCGCACTTAGATGGTTATGTATGGCAACAGGATTTTAACCTAAGAGGACTGAGCTGAGAACCTTGTCTATTAACCTGTCTCTCTCTGCTGTTATGGGAAAAGGAATTTTAATTACTTTTGAATTATTTAATTTGATGAATAAGTAATAACATCTATCTAGTAAAAAAAAATCAAAGGTAAAAGAGTGTGTACCCAGTGAAAATTAATCATCTTCTAATCTCTTTGCTAGGGGAATATACTGACCTAGTTTCTTGTGTGTCCTTACAGAAATTTTCTAAGCATATGAAAATTATATAGATTTGCACTCTTCCGTACAAATGGTTCTTTCCACTCCCAACAAAAATATTAATACTGTGTTACATTTTGTTTTTTCCTTAATATATTTCGAATGCTATTTGTTATTAGTCATAAAGTTCTCCCTGTTTCCTTTTTTTATTTCTTTTTGGTGCTGGGGATTGAACCCAGGGCTGTGTACATGTTAGGTAGTGCTCTACCACTGGGGGAGTTATACTCCTGCCCTGACCAAATTTTTTATGGCTGAATTTTATTACATTATATGGATACGTTATAATTTATTTATCCAATTGTTTATTGATGGACACTTGATCTAGCAACTGATATTTTTATCATGACTGCAATGCATTGCTTCAGATGTGTCTTGTGGCTTATGTTCAAATATGTATGATACATTTTAAAAAGTGAAATTGCCAAACTAGAGAGTTTGTTTTAAATTTTGACAGCTGTTGCTAAATTACTTCTCAAAGAAATGTTACCAATTTATATTCCCACTAACAATGTATAAAAATGTCTACTTCCCCTTATGTACCCTCTCTAAAACAGCATGTTATCAAACTTTTTGATCTTAGTTGTTTTGTAAAAAAATGGTAATTTCGATTTCTTTTATTGTGAGTGAGGTTGAATATCTTTTCATGGATTTAAGACACATTTGTATGTCCTTTTTGGGAATTATCTGTGCATGTCTATGACCCATTTTTTTCCCCCTACAGTATGATTGGGTTTTCAGAATGCTTTCAAAATACATATCCTTTCTTATGATAGAATAATTAGTCCCTTGGGATTTGTTGCTAATATTATTTTCCCATATTGTTGTCTTTTGACCAAGTTAATTGTTTTTTCTTTTATAGATATTTTATTTTTATCACTTGAATTTATCAATTTCTTTTTCATATGGCTTTTGAGGTTTGTATCCTTTTCAGAAAAACTTTTCACAGTTTGAGATTATATTAAAAAACACCTTCCATTTTACCTTAGTTTTGTGATTTCACTTTTTATGTTTAAATCTTTATTCCATCTGAATTTAATTTGAGGATTTGGAATCCAACTGATTCCTTGGCTATCCAGGGCCCCTAATGTCATTTTTTAGATAATCACGTGCTGCCCCCTCCTTGGCACTGATTAGAATATTACTTTAATCAAATACTTAATATAATATAATATAATATAATATAATACTTGACTCTGTATTATATTCCATTGATCAGTTTGTCTATTCACATTTACTACTAGGCTTCCAGTTACTATATTTTGTAATATATTTTAATGTCATATAAGGCTAATATTCTTTTTATTACTTTTTCAAAAAAAA